TGATGTGAAAGGGACACATCGAGTGGCTGCCACCCTCACGACCAACCAGGGCCGGGGACAAACTGCAACCGAGGTATGTGCCCTTAGCGGGAACCGAACCCGGGTCTCTCCAGACCACAGGTGGATGCTCCAACCTCTGAGCCAAACCGGCCAGGGCAAGACAATAGTCTTCTCAAAACAGTCTACTGAAAATAGTAACAAGCACATATATGGTGCTTGGTATGTGCTGAGCACTGTTTATTTAATCCTTATAATAGCCCTATGAAGTAATTATCCTTATTTTATATGATTGGTAGTACTGGGTAGTACTGAGTAGCAGTTTGTGATATTATCCTAGTCCAAGTTATCTTTTTTCTTTACTTCCATACCCAATCTTCAAGGCCCTGTATCCTACATCATTTATTTTCTTTTTTAATCCTCATCTGAGGGTATGTTTTTCATTGATTTTAGAGAGAAGGGAGAGGGAGAGAGAAACATCAATTTGAAAGAGAAACATTGATCAGTTGCTTCCCATATATGCCCCAACCAGGGATCAAACCCAAAACCTGGGTTTGTACCCTGACCAGGAGTTGAACCCACCACCTCTCGATGTATGGGATGACATTGTAACCAAATGAACCACACTGGCCAGGTCTATCATTTTCTGATACTCTTGGTAGAAAATAATTTTTATCTCTTCTATTTTCTCATTAGAATCTCCATTAGGGCACTTGTCACATTCTACCCTATTTGTCTCAAGTGTCCATCTTTGTATACTAGGTTAAGATCATCTGGAGGTCAATAACTTCTTGGGAGGCCTTCCCTACCACAGTGATTTTTCATGAGTCTTGCACATATGTAATAGGCGATCTATGTTTATTAAAATGAATTTACCAAATATTATGTTTGCATATGCTTTTTTCAGGAATTTACTTTATTTACAGAGAAACTTGTTCGTGTACAAAATTACATAAGCACTAGGTAGCAAATCTTAATGGGTAAGAGCCTGCTAGGATGGAATCCTGACTCGAACACTTCCTACCTGGGATCTTAGATAAGTCACTTAACCCTTCTGTGCCTTGGTTCTGTCACCTGTAATGGAAATAATAATACCTACCTCAGATGGTAGTCTTGTGATTTAAGAGAGTTCCATTTTTGAAATGTGTTTAAAATAGTACCTGGTACATATTAACATAAGTGTCATTCTTTCTTACATCATTATAATAGTAAAAAGCTGGAAACAACCTAATTATCTATCAACAGAGGATTGATTACACCAATCGTAGCACATCCCAAACATTAAAAAGATTAGAGGTCCAGAGAAGATGTACAAATGACTAATAGGCACATGAAAAGAGGCTCAACATCATTAGTCATTAGGGAAATGTGAATAAAAACAAAAATGAAATATGACAGTGTATCCACAGGATGACTATTATGAGGAGTTGTAAGTGTTGGCAAGGATATGGAGAAATTAGATCCCTAATACATGGATCATGTGAATGCAAAGTAATGCAACCACTTTGAAACAGTTTGGTATTTGCTCAAAAAAGTTACACTCAGTTACAATGTAACCCAGAAATTTCCCTCCTAGATATATACCCAAGAGAATTGAAAACATACATCCACATAAAACTTGTAAATATTCATAGCATAATTCACAAGACCCAATTGTGCAACTGATGGAATAAACAAAATGTGGTGTCCCATACAGTGGAATATTATTCCACCATAACAAGGAATGGGGTTCTGATACAGGCTACACCATAGATGACCTTGAAAACATGCTAAGTGTTGTTATAATAGAAATGTCTGCCCTTGTATCCACTAATCCTGAAATTAATTGCCCTTGTATATTAATGGAGAGCAAGGGCATTTTGGTGTTAATAGCCACAGTCCAGAGAACATGACACTGACCAGTGCTCCCAAACCCTGCATTCCCTTTAATTGTGGAGTTGGCTCCAGAAACCCAAATAGGGTAACAAAAGAAGTTGAGCTATTAAGGTGCCCAGTGTTAATACATGAAAGCCCACAGCCTTAAGCATTACTTCAATTTCTCCTTCAAAAACTGAGTCAATTACCTGTGTCATCACCTGTAATCCTTTCATTGTTAAATTAGATCTTCCAATCACTAAACCTACTTTCCCCTCTGGAAAAGGGCTGTGCACTCCTGTAGGCACTAAACAAATATCATCAGACTCCTTAAGGGTTAATTCTGTGGTAGTGATAAGATCCAGGTCAGCACTTCCTGCTGTGGAGGCTCCGAGGCCTCCAACCCTCCCTTTGACTTACTGAAAGATCCTGAGGCTGTGGGACCCAGGGAGCTGTCTGAGCACTGGGTCTCGCTCCCTTCTTCCTGTTTCCCAACAAGGGATTTCCGATTTTTCCATATTTAGATTTACACTGACTGGCCCAATGCAGCCCTTTGACACATTGAGGACAAGGCTTCGTAGGAAGGCCACTAGTTCTGGCCTTTCCTTTTTTACAGTTCTTTTGAAAATGTCCTGGTTTGCCACAATTAAAACATCATTTGGACCCTTGTTTTTTATTGAATTCTTATTGGCAACGTCTCAAGAGCAGCTGCTAAAGCTCTGGACAGATGCATTTCTGTCCCTATATTTTGACATGCTTTTATATAATCTCCTATACATGAGGTTTTTCCCTTCAGTGGAGCAAGCACAGCCTGACAATCTGCATTAACATTCTCATAGGCCAATTGTAATAGCGATGTATTAGCTGCTGCTGCATTGTCTATCTGTTTACTTATGGCCACTTGCAGCCGATCAATGAAAGACAAGTAAGATTCCTGTGCTTCTTGCCTAATGGTAGTATAAGAGCCTTCTTTCCTCCAGACTCTGGAATCCTTTGCCAAACTTTAGCAGCTATATCTGAGGCCTGATGAAACAATGTAGAATCTTGCCTTGCCTGTACTTGGGGATCCAAATAGCTTCCTTGTCCTAGTAACATGTCTAGTCCAATAGGAATCCCTATTCCAAAATTTTCCTATGCCTTTTGTGTGGCTCTCTCCTGATATTCTAATTTCCACATGGCGAATTGGGTGGGCGTCAATACAGTTTTTGCTAGCGCCGTCCAATCCCAGGGAGTCATCAGATACCTACCAGCTATCCCTCCAACACTCCTATAGTAAAGGAACTTTGCGAACCATTTTCCTTTATGCTTTGCCTGAATTCTTTAAAAACCTGATAGGGCGCCCTGGCTGGTTTGGCTCAGCGGTTGGAGCATCGGCCTGCGGACCAGAAAGTCCTGGGTTCAGTTCCCGCTAGGGGGACGTACCAAAAGAAAATAATAATAAAAATAATACATAAAAATAATAAATAAAATAAAAACCTGATAGGGCTAACATTCATGCACAGGTTGTTGGCCTGGCTGTATTATAGCTGGAAAAGCCCCAAGGTCGCTTGCTTTCCTGGCCTCTTTAATACAGCCCTCCATTGCTGGGCGTGGTGAGGGTAAGAAATTCTCCACAAAAGGTGGAGGATGGGGAGGAAAACTTTCCTCCTTTGGCGACCAAGCAGGAGTTGGAGTCCCCTCGCTGCTGGGACTGATCTCCTGAGTCAGATGCTGTGAAGCTGTAAATACTGACCCCATGCTGTCTTACTGAAATGGAAACCCCTCAGGACACTAGATATGCTGGCAGCTGTAGCAAGCCGGGCACCGCGGGCTCGAAAATACTTTCTCGAGTGACTGAAGTTTACTTTGGATCCAGATCACGACTTCCCTTTCGCCTACTGTTACATTGCTGGTCTTGTCGAATCTCACCGCAGCATACCCGAATCACAATCACATCAGGGTCACCGCTTGCCCTCTCTCTCGGCCTGCTGGCCTGCCTGGATTTGTGCATCACAATGAAACTACAAGCATATGCTGCTTGGAGTGAGGGGGAGCTTTGCAAGGTAGCAAATGCTCTTGATCTCTGGACACAGTCCCATTTATTTGCAGATTGGTACCCCCAGGTCACAAGTAGATTTAAGTAAATTATTTCCTTGAGATGGTATTATTGCAAACATACACCATAGCTTTGTCTCTTGCTTTTTACTGGAAGAGACCTTAAAGCCAAAAGACAGCAAACCCTTATTCACATGCAAATGAAGCACCCAATACATATGGGCGGGCCAGGTCACCCCCAACCCAGGATTCCGAGAATGCATTAACACAAGGTTGAAAGTGCTTAACACAAGGTTAAAAAAACATCCATCTTCCACCACCCCCACTCCACACTAAGAAGCCAGACACCACAGGCCACATATTGCATGATTCCATTTATATGAAATGTCTAGAATATGCAAGTCCATAGAGACAAAGATTAGTGATAGCAAGGGGCTGCGAGAAGGGAAGAATGGGAAGTGAGTGCTAACGGGTACAGGACTTCTTTTGGGTGGGGTGCTGAAAATGTTACAGAATTGGATAGTGGTGATGGTTGCACAGTCTTGTGAATATGATAAAAAACTAGTGGATTATATACTTTTGAATGATCAATTTTATGATATATGAATTATATCTTAATTTTTGTAAAAAAGGATAGGGAGCTGTGTAGATTGTGAGATGGTATAATTTCCAAAATATAGTAAATGAAAAAACACGGAACAGTTTACATGGTATACTACCATACAGTTAAAAAAATGTGCACATACACTGTGCAGGCACAAAATATCTGAAAAGAAATATAGGCAACATTATTTCCTAAAGGGAGGGGATCTGGGGTGGATGAAGAAGAGGGGCGACCTAGAAGGGAAACCTAACTTTCCAGTATACCCTTTTGTATCTTTTGAATTTTATACAGAGTGTAAGTATTCCTTTTATTAAAAAAGAAGAAATAAAAATGGAAACTGATGCTGTATCTTTAGATTTTAAGAGATTGCATTCATTTTCTTCTGTAATAAACATAAAAAAAAACCATCCACACATTCAGTCAGATTTATTTATTCTTCAGCAATTGAAGCATTAAATGATGACAGTTTTTATTCTCAATCTTTTTTTTTTTTTTTTTTTTTAGTACATGCCCCTAGTAGGAACTGAACCCCGGACTCTGGTCCACAGGCTGACATTCCAACTGCTGAGCCAAACTGACCAGGGCTCAATCTTTAATAACATTATATTCATTATACTTGAGATTGTTTAGCTCTCTCATGAAAAAAACTCCAACATAAACCTTTATACTATCCACCTACAATTTTAACAAAAAAGGGTTACTGATAATTGGACAACTTATATGATGTGGGCAGAGACATAAGAGTCATCATAAAGTGGCCAGTCTTGTAAGTCAAGAGCTATGATCTTTGATCCATTCCTCAATCCACTTCATTATCTGATTGATATTATCCTCTAGATCTTCTGGTTGATTGCTGGGCAGCCGATGCACTATTTCTTCACTATAGGATGCTAATGCTTCTTCATAAAGAATCTGAAAAATTTCACACTGAATATTATCTTTTAGTTTCTTCTCATTATAACCCCTAGAAGGCAGAGAGAAGATAAGCAAACAAATAGCATTTATTGGAGTTTTAGGAACATACCAGAAACTGAACACTTTAGAATACATGAAAAATCACACAAAAATACTTCTTGTGGTCTCTTTACCTATAAATAGACTGGCACCTATAAATGAGGGATGACTCTGACAAGAGGGTTAAACTAAGAACCAATGTTTAAGTTTGTCTGAAATTTCCCCCCCCACAACATTTTGTCAGCCACTCAGCAAACATATCTACCTATCTCAAGCTAGATTCTGAGCTGTAAGATAAATAAGAAGCCTTTAGTTATGGTCCTAGATTTTATTTTATTATTTTTATTTTTTTATCTTCACCCAAGGACACTTGCATTCATCTTCAGATAGAGCGAGAGGGAGGGAAGGAGGAAGAGAGAGAAACATCGATGTGAGAGAGACACATTGACTGGTTGCCACCTACACGACCCCAACCAGGCCGGGGACAAACTGCAACCAAGGTACATGCCCTTAGTGGGAACTGAACCTGGGTCTCTCTAGACAGCGGGCCAACGCTCTAACCGCTGAGCCAAACCTGCCAGGGTGGTCCTAGATTTTAAAAAGAAGTAGAGGAGTTAAGATATAGACAGATAAAACACACACATGGCATATAATAAAATGAAATGTGCCTGGTTGGTGTGGCTCAGTGATTGAGCATCGACCCATGACCAGGAGGTCGCTGGTTCGATTTCTGGTCAGGGCACATGCCCAGGTTGTGGGCCCATACAGGAGGCGGCCAATCAATATTCTCTCCCATTAATATTTCTATCTCCCTCTCCCTTCCTCTCTCTCTAAAAATTAATAAAGAAAAAAAATGAAATGCATATGATTGAAATACTATATAATTGGGTACTTGATCACATAGATGTGTCTCTAACAAATCTAAAGACACTGAAAAAATAAACAAGTAATCTTTAGGCAGATATGTAAATTAGCCAACCAATTAGCTAGTGAAAAATATAAGGAAAATTCAAATTTCAATTAAACCATGTAACAATAAAAATTAAATGGAACTACTTAAAAGGTAATTCACTTTCTGAAAAGATTATCTACAGAATGGGAGAAAATTTTTGCAAATCATATATCTGATAAATAAAATATGGTATATCCATAAATATAATTTTATTGGCAATAAAAAAGGAATGAAGTGAAGTACTGGTGTATGCTGATAATCCAGATGAACCTTGAAAACATTACACTAAGTGAAAGAAGCCAGACAAAAAAGACCACATTATTGTATGACTATATTATATGAAAGGTCCAGAATAGGCAAATTTACATAGAAAGTAAATTACTGGTTGCCTAGGGCTGGGGGGTTGATGGGAAATGGAGAATGACTGCTAATGGTAATGAGGTTTTTTGAGGGGAGGGGATAAATATTTCTGAAAATTGGTTGTAGTGATGAATACACACCTTTGTGAATATACTAAAAAATCATTGAATTGCACACTTCAAATGGGTGAATTGTATGAAATGTGATTTTACTGCAATAGAGCTGTTTTTATTTAAAAAAAATTTTCTTTATTGATTTTATTTTATTTTTTATTTTATCCTCACTCGAGGACATTTTTTCATTTTTTGTTCAGATAGAGTGGGGGGGGGGGAGGAAGAGAGAGAGAGAAACATCGACGTGAAAGGTACACATCAAGTGGCTGCCACCCGCACAACCCAACCAGGGCTGGGGACAAACTGCAACTGAGATAAATGCCCTTAGCGGGAACTGAACCCGGGTCTCTCTGGACCGCAGGCCGACACTCTGTTTAGCCAAACCGGCCAGGGGAGAGCTGTTTTTTTAAAAAAGGTAATAATGCTCTGGCCAGTTTGGTTCAGCGGTTAGAGCGTCGGCCTGTGGACCAGAGAGCCCTAGGTTCGGTTCCTGCTCAGGGCACATACCAAAAATAAATAAATAAATAAGGTAATAACTTTTTTAATTGCTTAAAAAAAAAAAGGCTAGCTCTGTTTTTTCATACCTTAGTCTTTAGCTATTTATAAAAAACAGTAATTTTTAAATTGATTTTAGATAGGGGGGGAGGGAGGGAGAGAGGAAGGGAGGGCGAGAAAGAGAGAGAGAGAGAGAGAGAGAGAGAGAAAGACATCAATTTGTTGTTCCACTTATTTAAGTATTCATTGGTTGATTCTTGTATGTGCCCTGACTGGAGATTGAACCCACAACCTTGGTATATCAGGGATGACACTAACCAACTGAGCTACCTGGCCAGGGCATAACAGTAATTTTTAAAAAAATTTTATTTTAATTGAATTTTAAATTGTCTTGGGAAAAAAAGCATATGTAACATATGGTCTCTATTACTTCTCAGTTCAAATACTTTTTTCCTGCCTAGAGAAAAGTGATGAATTTTTCAGGTCTAGTTCCAACCTAACTTTCCCTATGTGTTTGCTTGCTACTGTATGTCTTTGTGCAAGGATTCTGCAAGTATCCCATCCAATGGTGGTTAGTCACAGCTGATTCAGTGAGAACCACAAATTCTGCATCTGACCTTAGGCAAATTTCTGGAGTTTTCTTTCCTGAGACTGCCCGCTAAATTCCTTTTAGAACGCCTCTTCCCACAGCTTGAATCAAAAGACAGTGGAAAAATGTTTTACTAAAAAATGTGTTTTTTGGGAGGTTGGTGGTTATTCTGAATTGTTACTCTCTCTTGGAGGGACTATCTCAAATATATTTTAAAAGTTGTGAATTGTTGCCCTGGCCGGTTTGGCTCAGCGGTTAGAGTGTCGGCCTGCAGTCCAGAGAGACCCGGGTTCGGTTTCCGCGAAGGGCATGTACCTCGGTTGTAGTTTGTCCCCGACCCTGGTTGGTCGTGCGGGTGACAGCCGCTCGATGTGTCCCTTTCATGTTGATGTTTCTTTCTTTCTCTCTCTTCCTCTCTCCCTCCCACTCTATCTGAACAAAAAATGGAAAAAATGTCCTCGGGTGAGGATAAAAACAAAAACAAAAAAACCCACAAAAGTTGTGAATTGTTGATTTATCTTGTTAGTTTTCCATAAGCTTTCCCATTCCTGTTATGAGGATAATTTGGGCACTATTCATTCAATAGCAAAGAATATGTTATTGGTTTGTCTATTTTCCTAAGCAAGGTTTTACATTAAGGAAAAAGTATATTAAATAGTGTTGCTATACAGTACGTTTTACTTAATCAAACTGTGAGTTGAGGTATTCATTTACAGTTATGCAAGTAACTGTGTAATACAAATGCATCTTTTTCTCTTAGATTCAGAATGTTGGTAGAGACAAAATAAAGTAGTTACAATGGCCAATTTCTGAATCTGAATAAAAGTTTATATTATATTTTAAGAATTCAATGTATATCCTTTCTTACCTTGTTTCAAGTCTTTTGTACAATACACTGTTATCTGTGTTCAGCACAAACACTATATGAAACCAACGTTCAGGGAAGAAATCACAACCATGGTAATCAACAATAACTCCACCTTCACTCATTTGGCTTTCTAACTCATCGACCACCTATAAGAAAGGTGGAAAGAAAAAAAAGATGAGTGCTCCTTTAAAAAACTAATGTTAACTTTCCTTTACATTTTTTCAAATGTATACTTTATTTAAAAAATTATACTTACTCTATCTTCATCTAAAATGGGACAATCATACTCTTCATCATAGCCATCATACAACTGCCCTGAAAGAGATTTACATTGGCTTGTTAAAGTAGTATTTTCTAAATAAATTTCAGTAATATTCAGTTAATTCTGGGCTTTAGAAAGGGAAATATATCAATTACTCTTTTTTTTTTTTTTCTTTATTGGTTTTAGTGAGAGAGGAAGGGAAAGTGAAAGAGAGATAGAAACATCGATGAGAGAGAACATCAACTAGCTGCCCCCTGCATGCTCCCCATTGGGATTGGGCCCACAACCTGGGCATGTGCCCTGACCGGGAATTGAACCTGTGACCTCTTGGTGCATGGGTTGACACTCAGCCACTGAGCCACACCGGCCGGGCTCAATTACTCTTTTAGGGACCATGGAGGGCACTAAGACAATAGATGTCACATGGATACTGTGAAAATATTAATAAATTAGAATTTTGTCTAGAGGGAAAGTTGAAACCAACTAAAGAATTAATAATAGTTAATTTCTGAATTTATGGGGCTATTAGAAGAAAACAGCATTCATTTTGCTGATCTACAGATCAGTGGAAAGAGAGGACACATGGATACAAACACTCTCACATACATTAACGGAAGATTAAGTTCTAAACTTGTAAGGCCAAGGATATGAAGCTCTTTAAAAACAACAGGTTTTCGCCCTGGCCAGTTTGGCTCAGCGGTTAGAGCGTCGGCCTGCGGTCCGGAGAGACCCGGGTTTGGTTCCCGCTAAGGGCACGTACTTCGGTTGCAGTTTGTCCCCGGCCCTGGTTGGTCGTGCGGGTGGCAGCCACTCGATGTGTCCCTTCACGTCGATGTTTCTCTCTCTCTCTCCCTCCCACTCTATCTGTACAAAAAATGGAAAAATATCCTCGGGTGAGGATTTAAAAAAAAAAAAAAAAAACAAAAACAAAAAAAAAAAACAACAGGTTTTCAGTTTCAGAAGTGAACCCTCTTGTCACTGAGGTCACATGTTAATAGGGTTTAGGGAAGGAGAGTCAGTATCCAGATGCTCCTGAACAGTATCTTTACTTCTAGATTTCCAGTAACTCCAAAAGTCAAGGGTTAAATGTCTTATTTCAGAAGGCAAAACAAGAATAATGGGCAGTTTCAATTAAGGCAGATTTAAATCTAACATAAGAACATACCAGGGAGCATTTGAGATCTTGCTTCCCGGCATGTCATCAGGTTGGTTCAAATAAACTAACTTGAAAACTAACTTGGTATTGCTCAGTGGTTAGATCATAGGCCCTTGCACCAAAGTCTCAGATTCATTTTCCGGTCAAGCACATGTACCTGGTTGTCAGTTTCTTTTTCCTTCTTTTTTTTATCCTCACCCGAGGACATTTTTCCATTTCTTTGTTCAGATAGAGTGGAAGGGAAAGAGAGGAAGAAAGAGAAAAACATCGATGTGAAAGGGACACATCGAGTGGCTGCCACGCGCAGGACCCAACCAGGGCCAGGGACAAACCACAACTGAGGTACATACCCTTAGTGGGAACCGAACCCAGGTCTCTCCGGACCGCAGGCCGACGCTCTAACCGCTGAGCAAAACCGGCCAGGGCTGGTTGTCAAGTTTGATACCCAGCCCCGTTGGGGTGCATCTCTGTGTCTCTCTCACATGAATGTTTCTCTCCCTCTCTCTCTCATTCTTCCCCTGCCCTTCCCTTCCACTCTCTAAAAATCAATGGAAAAAATATCCTCGAGGGAGAATTAACAAAAAAAGATTCCAACAAATCAAACTGGCTTTTTTTTTATCCTCACCTGAGGACATTTTTCAATATTTTGTTCAGACAGAGTGGGAGGGAGAGAGAGAAATATCAAAGTGAAAGGGACATATCAAGTGGTTGCCACCCGCACAACCAACCAGGGCCGGGGACAAACTGCAACCGAGGTACGTGCCCTTAGTGGGAATCGAACCCAGGTCTTTCCGGACTGCAGGCTGACTCTCTAACCACTGAGCCAAACTGGCCAGGGCTCAAACTGGCTTTCAAAGTCTTACTTCAGCAGGTGAGACATATCAACTCCAACTTCACCTGAATCCCTAGGTATATAATAAAGCAGGATAAGATCATCCTTTTAGCCATCTCTAAGGGCATGGTAGTCTTCCCACCTCTTCCTACTTAGTATCTTGGCATAGGTTGAAATTAGGTTAAAATAAGCATAAACTCTGAAGTGATAAAAGAGTAGTCTTGAGGGTTAGTGGAAGGCCAGAGGCAGCTGTAACTCTTTGTCTTGCCTGGGGGGTCTGTGGACTCATTCAGGGCATATGAGCCACCCACCTCTCCAGCACCTTAATGTGGCCTCTGCCACTTTAGGCAGAAACTCTATCAGCCTAAAAAATTAAACTGTCCTGGTACAGGAAAAACGGGTTACCAATTTAGAAAACAAATCTAAACAAGTTAGAAAACAAATCTAAATCTTTATACCACAAACTCTAGTGGACTGAAAAGCTAATTTCTTAATTCCAAAGATAACTAGTGGAAAATTTAATCTTTAAAGGAATGATTCATTTGTTTTGTTTTGTTTTGTTGTTTTTTTAATCCTCACCCGAGGATATTTTTCTATTTATCTGCAGATAGAATGGGAGGGAGGGAGAGAGGGAAAGACAGAGAGAGAGAAAAACATCCATGTGAGAAAAACACATTGATTGGTTGCCTTCTGAATGACCCCTGACCAGGGCTGGGACCAAATTACAACTGAGGTATGTACTCTTGACTAGAATGGAATAGGCAACTCCTTGTTCCACAGGCCGGACGCTCCAACCACTGAGCCAAACCGGCCAGGACAGGAATGATTCATTTGTATTTGTGAAGAAATAAAATGACTAATTAAAACATGTTAAATCTCTGTTCAATGAAAAATAATTTATAAAAAGAGAAAAATAAGACTGGGCAAAATATTTTGTAGAACAAAGGACTGAAATATGGATTATATAAAAACCTTAAAAATAAAAAAAATTAAAAAAAAATCCGGCCGTCGTGGCTCCGTGGTTGAGCGTCGACCCATACACCAAGAGGCCGCTGGTTCAATTCACGGTCAGGACACATGCCCAGGTTGTGGGTCTAATCCCCATTGCGGGGCATGCAGGAGGTGGCCAATCGATGTTCTCTCTCATCGATATTTCTATCTCTCTTTTCCTCTCTGCAAAATCAATAAAGGAAAAAAAAATTTTTAAAGAAAAAAAGCGTAACTGGTTGAGCATCAACCCATGTACCAAGAGGTCGCCAGTTCAATTTCTGGTCAGGGGACATACCCAGGTTCTGGGCCCGGTCCCCAGTGTGGGGCATGAAGGAGGCGACCAATCGATGTTCTCTCTCATCAATGTTTCTATTTCTCTCTTCCTCGTCTTTCCTCTCTAAAATCAATAAAGAAAAAAAAAAATTTTTTTTTAAATCAAGATAAAAATAGGTAGCTTAACAAAGAATAAGAATTCACACAGAATGGAAAAGATAGTAAAAATACATGAAAAAAAAAGTTGGACTTTCCCAGCTATTAAAGGGGTGCAAATTACAATAAGCCTTTATATGCCTGTTATGTTAGTTGTATATGTACATATATAGTAAATCAACTCTAGAAATGTATTTTTAAATACATTTAAGTAGCAACTAAATAAATTTAAAAATAAAAATATACCCATTTGAATTACTTCTATCATTTAATTTCTAATCAGAAAACGATTGTAAGTGATAAAGTGATTAAGAATGTTCAACAGCCATGGCCGGTTTGGGTCAGTGGTTAGAGCGTCAGCCTGTGATCCAGAGAGACCTGGGTTCCGTTCCCACTAAGGGCACGTACCTCGGTTGCAGTTTGTCCCCGGGCCCTGGTTGGTCGTGCAGGTGGCAGCCACTCGATGTGTCCCTTTCATGTCGATGTTTCTCTCTCTCTCTCCCTCTCTGTCGCTCCCACTCTATCTGAACAAAAAATGGAAAAATGTTCTCGGGTGAGGATAAAAAAAAAAAAAAAAAGAATGTTCAACAAACTCTGTCCGGTTTGGCTCAGCGGTTAGAGTGTTGGTAGCATGCCTGGTCTGTGGCACGTACCTGGGTTGCAGGAGTTGTGTGGGATGCAAGCAATCGAAGTCTCTCTCTCACACCAGTATATCCCCCCCTCCCCTCACCTTCCTTCCACTCTATCTAAAAATCAATGGAAAAATATCCTCAGGTGAAGTTTAACAACAAAAAGATGTTCAACAATAGGGAAATAATTTAATATTAATATACTAACTTGATGAAATATTATGTAATTAAATAAAGTTCAAGAAGTATTAGGTAGTTAAAAATACTATGTTACATGGACTAAGTAGCAACATGATAAATGCTTATAATATAAGCGGTAAACATAAAAAGCAGAATTCAAGGCTGTGTGAAATAGGGACAAATTGGAAGAAAAACAAAGGATGGAAATAAATCAGTAGAATTTAGAGTACTTTTTCTGTGTATTATTTTTACAATAATGTATTTTTTTTTTTTACACGCCGCAAAATCTAAGAATACCTACAGCTGATTCTGTATTGTGTGGGAGTCAGGAGTAGATAAATGCCTAGGTTCCAACATATTTTAAATCCTTGACTCTTTGTTTTTTAATTTTTAATCCTCACCAGAGGACATTTTTGCATTTATCTTCAGATAGAGCAGGAGGGAGAGAGGGAGGAAGAGAGAGAGAAACATCAATGTGAGAGAGACACATTGAGTGGTTGCCACCCACACGACCCCAACAGGGGCCAGGGACAAACTGCAACCAAGGTACGTACTGAAGCCGGGACTCTCTGGCCCGCGGGCCAATGCTCCAACCACTGAGCCAAACTGGCCAGGGCTTTTTAAAAAAATCTTTTTACCTTTATTGATTTTGAGATATAGAGACAAAAACATCTATGAGAGAGAACATCGACTGGCCGCCTCCTGCATGCCCCCAACTGGGGATTTGGCCCACGACCTGGGCATGTGCCCTGACAGGGAATCAAACCGGTGACTTCCCATGTGAAAGGGACACATCGAGTGGTTGCCACCCGAACAACCCAACCAGGGCCGGAGACA